GCTGAAGTGAAGCTGTCCTATCCCAGGATAATTTTAGCCTGGGTCCAGAATAATTTTTCCCTGGGACAAGGTTGCTTTAGGTTGCCCTGCCCTAGGGAGTCTCCTGCACACATTTGTCTCAGGTACCCTGGGAAACTCCAGCCACGTGGCCAGCGGCTGGGTCGTCCCATCTACAGCCCACTCCACCAGCAACAACTGCAAAACCGCCGCCTACCTTCCGACTAAAAAATGATGCATGATAACACAACAAAGCGTCTCTCCGGCTTATCAGTGCCAGGGCAGGAGGAGGAAAACGAATATCATTGCTTTTTGTTCGTGTGGGTGAACGCTGCAGAAGTTACAGCCTTGGAGACTTTGGCTCTTGGTTTATCTCCAGGGCCAATGCCATTGTCCTAACCCAGAGGAGCGCGGACTGATGCAGACTAATTGGCAGAACTGGAGGGTCTGTGGACCTGGACGTCCGTGGTTCAGGAGCTGGAGGGTCTGTGTCTAAGAGGAGACATCCCAAGGTGCTCCCAAGTCCTTAAGTGCTCAACTGTGAACACCTGCCCACCAGGAACTAATCAAGACTGAAACATCACCCGATAAGACTTCATCCAAAGCCATTTTTTGGCTTATTAGTGTCAAGGTGGGAAAAGAAAGGGAATATCATTGTCCTGTTGTCGGGAGCTATGATTCATGTCCACTCCAAGAGCAAAATCACTGCACACAGCGCCAAAACACATTAAAAAGATTTCCCATGAACGCAAGTGTTTGCTTAGAAAGGGAAATGGAGCCTGCGGTTTTGCCTGCTTGCCGACAAGAGGGAGCAATGCTTCTGCAAACGCCTTAAATACAGCAAGAAGCTCTCCTAGAAAGAGCTTTGCATGGTATTGCTCGACAGGACCTGCTCCAATTCACACAGGGATCAAATCAGGGAATCCCGTGCTCTGTGTCATACAGGAAACCAGACTGGGGTGGTCATCACAGTCCCCTCTGGCCACCAAATGCATGACCTGATGGATCACGCATGTTCCCTAACCACGTGGGCTTCCAATCATATGGTCCTTTGAAGGCCGGGGTAGGTCTTGGGCTGTTTCCTGTTCTGTCAGGCAGTTATACAGGCTCAAGAATAAATCTTGAGACCCAAAATGCATGTGATAGAAATCCTCGGCCAGCTAAATCTTACAATGTGCTGTTCACTGCACAGCAAGAGCATCGCTGTCGCCCAGACGGTTGACTGTGACCGCTTGGAAAGTCACAGCAGGAAAGACTGCCTGGCTTCAAAAGCTCAGACTGCTTTTTTGGGGCTCCAGGAGAGTTGTTACCTGGAGTAGACGGCTGCCGGCCGAGAGCTGAACAGTGCCGGCCGTCTCCGAGCAGAGGGCAGCGGTGCACCGATGCTGCACCCAGCTCTTTCCCGCGCCGATTTACCGAGATCGTTTGCAAAACATCAAATGTGGCTCATTTCCAAGAAATGATGGTGTAGAGATGGCCCTGCAAGCCATGCCTCCGGGTCGAAGCTTGGCTACCGTAGCAGTTAGGAGCTGCAAAACGTGGACAAACAGCAAAAGGCCTCAATGCTTGTGTCTGATGCGTGACTAGCTGCAAAATGTGGCTACGCAGAAAAGGCCTGGGTGATCTAGTGTGAAGCCTTGCAGGTGCTATAGCTGGCTTAGCAGAGAAAACCATTCATCTGTCTCACTCGACACAATCAGACAGAGCACACCACCTCAGTAAGAACAAGGCAGCCTCGTTAGCCCAAGTTAGGAGGGAAGAAAAGAGATAACGAGGCCCTGTCCTCCCTCCTGCCCCCATTACTTTCTCAAGGATATAAATCCTACACAACTGGCACCTTTTCGGCCCATAAGAAATCCGGTTGAATCCAGCAGTGGAAGTTTCATCGAAACAAAGACATTTAAATAAAACCAGTCAGAAGCCGCTCGTTAGGATGTCAGAACCAATTATCAATTAACACTTGGCACAAACTAAAGGGAAGTTGGGAACTTCTACATGACACCTGCCAGTCTCCCCGGGGCTGGAGACTCAGAGCCTGGCCAGCTTTGCTTTACGGCAGCCAGACACAGCCCGTATGGTTATGCTTATCCTTGGCCATTAATTTTGGTCTGTCAATTGATCAATAAATGTTTCACATTGGCTGGAATGACCCAAGGGTCCATTGAAGTTTTTTACCCACTTAAGATTTGTTAACAGCACTACCTTAGCGAATCTCCTGGGTACAACCGGTCTGCACGCATTGGAGGGACAGACGCGCTTCCTGAACAGAACCAGGTCTGCAAAATGCAACAACAGAGAAATAATTATACTGCAGTTTTGTCCCGTTAGGCCAAAAGCTCTTCCTTGATCAAGTAGCGAATGCCCCTAAGGCACCACCTGCGTCCTATCCAGGCACCAGCCTAACGCCCCTCAAGCCTGAAGCAAAATATTTTGTGCTTCTGCAAAATCTGCATCCCTCTCTCAGGGCAGCACCTCGCGAGCAGCAGAGCCCGGCACTTTATAACCAGAGCCACAACGGAGCCAGGGTAGGAGCTCTCGCATCCCTCCTGTGCAAACACGTGCAGCAAAGGAAACAAAAAATGTGCAGATCTTTTCAGACCGTTAAAGAGCCCGGACACAACACGAGGCCCAGATCTGGACTCAGCAATGTGCAAGATGATGGATGAAAAAAAAAACGCCTTTGATGCCAGGCTTCCAGGCTCCTCAGTGTGGCTGGTGTTAAACTGAACCTGTCTGCAAAATACAGGCTGCATATAAAACAGAAATGCAGCTGCTTCTGGTTGGGAGCGAAGCACCTGCCTGTCCGCTCTGCTCACCAGCACAGGAAGGGAAAGAAGACCTGCTAAAAGCAAAATGGCAGGAGGCCAGAATGCAAATATCCTCCGTAGCATCTGCCTAATGAGCTGCGCGGTGCAGATCGCTCTTTATTCTGGACGGGAACGTTACATAAACAGCTATTTCCAGAAGTGACGTGTGTGCGTTCGTGCAGCTCTGCATAGGAGCCTGGGCGCCCAGTCCTTGATCCAGCGCTGCCACGCCAGAGAGAATGAGCTAACCCGACCCCAGACTGCGTCTCGGGATGCCACGCTTCCTGGGCGCTCGGCGGCTCCCGAAGGACGTGCCCCATGGCTCACCCTCCACTGGGACACAGTAGGACACGGCTGTGAGCATCTGGTCCCTTATGGAGAAAGCACCATGGGGCTCCTGACTGCCCTGTGGCTGCTGAGTGATTTCATACGTCAGAGAAAAGACAGGTGGGAAGTTTTCATTTTACAGCCTGCATTCTCATTCCTGGATGTACAAGGTCCCCTACCCCAAGTTTGGCCCACAATTTAAATGCTATAAAGTCCAGCCCTTACAAGAGCAATGGGGCTTGAAGTCAAAGAGGCCCAAAGCCAAGTTGCAATGTAAAGAGGCCGAATAGAAATCATTTTTCTTTTCAAATAAGTACGTTACTTGGGCAAAACCCTGCGAGTGGGTGGGTGGCGGATAAGGGACCATATTTATTAGTGGTGTAGTATACTACAGTATGCCCTAGGCGTATAAGAACAAATCCCAACCTACGCTCAGCGGAGATGGCATCTTTTGCATCAGGACTGAATTTAGCTGGCTATCACTAAGACATCTGGCTGGCTGGCAGCTTTCCCTGCTCCCACTCCCCTGTGCACGTAGCGCTGGCTGCTCGGAGCCATTGGTGGGTGGTGACACTGTTTAATCATTGAGCAAACTGGTTTCTCCAGGGCCACGAGCATGTCTGGGGAGAGCTCATGGCCGTGGATCAGAGCCACCCAAGGATCAAGGGTTGGTGTTTTCTACACTTGGTGCAATGATTCATCACTCAACACTGAATGGGCTTATCTCCATGTCCTCCAGGGCTCGCAGCAGCTGGCAGGTTACTCACCCAGTCTCCAGGTAAAGATGAATTCAGATTTTATGAAAGAACAAACTCTTTTTTTCCACACCCGCCCCCCACAGACTCCAGGGTCATTCATCGGTGCCTGGGCTGGAAGCACGTGGCACGTTAGGCAGTTAGGGGCATTTGCTACTAGGTTAGAAAAGATCATTTTGCCTGGGAAACCACAGCTTCCTACTGAATTCTCCAGGCCGGCCCGTGTCCATAAGGCGCAGGCTGACCGCACTCGGTGCATTCACTAGGAAGCTGCCGTTTCTACCCTGCCGTTTCCACAACCGAACACCACTTTGAAATCTTGCAGCCGTGGGGCAGATGGCTGGGTGCTGCGTCTGCTGGAGACAACACGCGCTGCTCGACTGAGGGCCGTACGCCACCTCCTTCACAGTCATTCTCTTTTCGCCCAAAAAGCTGGGGTCTGAAGTCCAGACCATCTTCCATGCTGTAATAAATGTCTGGGCGTCTGTGCTGCTCTTGATGTGGGGTGACGGCACAGCGATAACTGTGAAGTCTGAGATGGCCCAGGATTGCTAAGGACCGGCCTCCAGCCCTATTCTTGTGCGACTGTCTGACGACAAGAGACAGCCCGAGGCTTACCCCAGCCCCTGAAGGACTATCACAGGAATATAGTTGGAAGTGCACACGGTCGTTCCCAATTAGGGAAGACAAAATGCAGCAGATCGTGCAAGAAGGGACTGCAATACCCACCCATTCTGGCTTCCCGTATGACACAGAGCACCGGATTCCCTGATTTGACTTGTTTGAATTAGAGCAGACCCTGTCGAGCAATACCATGCAAAGCTCTTTCTAGGAGAGCTTCTTGCTGTATTTAAGGCGTTTGCAGAAGCATCACCCCCTCTTGTTGGCAAGCAGGCAAACCCCCTGGCTCTACTTCCCTCGCAGAGCAAACAAGCGCTTGAGTTCATGGGAAATGTTCTTTTTAACGTGTCTGTTTGCAGTGTTATCTCTGATCCTGCTCTCGGACTGGACGTGAATCATAGCTCCTGAAAGGAAGGTCCTTGAGGAACTTTGGCTGGAAAACCATCGTATATATAGGACGCGGCAAATACGCGCTGTAATCCCTGTGCTGATCATGACGGGTCTTCTGGTCTTCGGTGCTCTTCTGGCAGTTGCCTACAGCCAAAAGCTCTTTGTGGGGTAAGTACGGAGGAACTCAGGGACTGGATGCCGCGGCGGGTATTTAGCCGTACATCTGACACCAGGCTGTGCAGGGATGTTTTTATCAGGAATTGGGGAGTTCCCAGTAGGCAGGTGTTCATAGCTGCATCGTTCTCAGCACAGAAGCCGCCACCTTGGCTTCAACATCTGGGAACATCTGGAGACACCCTGGGAAATCCACTCACCTTGTAGACTTGACACCTCCAGCTCCCACTTGCTGCATCCCTGGGCCGGGAGATGAACCTAGAGCTGAAGTCGCCAGCGCTGTAAACACCACAGCTTTCATTCGCGCCAACAAAGGGCAATGGCAGCAGCTTGCTTCCCTTCCCTTCATATGCCATGGATGTGATGGTTTTGACTCTGAAATTAGGCAGCAGCTGTGTAGCTGCTGGTGGAGTGGCTGGTAGTGGGGGTGACCCAATCCACGGCTACGTGCAAGTCCCTAAGACAAGGGACCTCATTAGCACCTTCCTGGAGGATGGCAATGGTGTGCAGGGGAAGTGCGGTCTAGGGATGAAGCTACCTAGTCCCAGGAAAAACATTATCTGGACTGGAACCAGGCTAAACCTGGCTGGTTTAGAGACAATTTACTTCAGTTCAAGGGGTTGTGTCTGTGGCTGCAGCCTTTTTTGGGTTGCGGCAACTTCTTCCCCCCTTGCCCAGGATTTCATGCATCCACAGCCCCACTGGATCTTTTCCATCTGTAACATCTGCAAGCCGAGTACTGCAAGCCGTATTGCAGATCTCTGAGTTTTGCCTGAAGAAACACAGATAAAAGGCTTCAACACATCTCCTCCCTGAGTGAGCCTGGGCAATTGTCTACCCACCTGTGAAGCCTGTTCTGATGGTCCTTTTGATGGCTGTGAATGGGTTCTGGGGGAAAGCAAAAGGAGAGTTTCTAGACAAAACGGTGCATTGTGCCCTCGCGCCAAGCACAGTCAGACAAAGTTTTGAAAGCTCATTAAGGTGCAATTAGCCCTGAGCCAAGAGGGTATGTCTATTGGTTGCCCTCTCACCCCTCCCAGTCCTTCCAGAAGTGCATTGGCAGGCTCTGATGCCAGACACCTAATCTGCTTGAAACATTTTAAACGATTTGTGCAATTACTACCTCCCTAATGTGGCAGGCCCTCTACCTCCTCCTACTCCAGTCCACTGCAAAAAGCAGCGTGTAGCAATTCCCTGATAGCATCGAATCATAAAGAAGGAGAGCTGGAAGGGATCTCCAGAGATCATGTCTAGTCCAACCCCCTGCCTGAGACAGGAGCAGCCCTGCCCAAACCCTCCTATACAAATCCATAAGCTAAACTCTTTGTAAAACTACTGCCGGCTCTGACACAAAGCAAGACACAACGTCCAAACCTGCCACAGGTAAAGCAGGGGGATCACAGCAGACCAATGTCCTGCTTCGGTAAAAGGTTGTTAGTGCATGCTCAAGAGATCCCAGGCAGAGGGTCATGAGATCCCAGGTAGAAGAATACCGCCCCCCACGTCCATACCAATCTGACCATGGGGTAAAATGCCTTCCTGACCCCAAATATGACCTCAGTCTACCCCTGAGTGGAGGGGCAAGACCCCCTAGTCAGGAACCTCCAACTTTTTAAGTCCCAGCATATCTCCACTGTTTGCCCACCTGATCTATGGCTGGTTCTTTAGCACCCCGCTCAAGCACCCTCTGTCCTTTCTCATTGCTTTGTCTTCACTAGGGACCAAGTTCTCCGCATCTCCGCCAACAATGAGGAGCACGTTGCATTGCTCAGGGGATTAGAGGAGTTGGAAGACCTGCAGGTAAGAATTGAGGGCGAAACCCTCTGCAGTGGTTGAGTTGGGAAGAATAGCTCCAGCAGGCCATACCCATGCCACCTTGGGCTGAGGTCTCCCCTGCTCTCACATGTTGAGGAGAGCCAAAATGCATGAAGACGTAAGAACATAAGCAGTGACAATGGTCCATCTAGCCCAATATATCCTGTCTTCCACAGTGGCAAGAGTGGATGCCTTCGAGGGAGAGCACTGAACTGGGTATAACTGGAGCGATCTGTCCCCTGTTCATTACTCTCTTTGGCATCCATCCTCATTGATCAAGAGATACCAGAGGAAACATTTATGACTATTCTGTTTAATGTCTAATATCTCATCTCATGGGTGCACGGCAGACATCCAGAGAGAGCCCAATATCTCATCTCATGGGTACATGGCAGACATCCGGAGGAAGCCCAATATCTCATCTCATGGGTACATGGCAGACATCCGGAGGAAGCCCAATATCTCATCTCATGGGTACATGGCAGACATCCGGAGGAAGCCCAATATCTCATCTCATGGGTACATGGCAGACATCCGGAGGAAGCCCAATATCTCATCTCATGGGTACATGGCAGACATCCGGAGGAAGCCCAATATCTCATCTCATGGGTACATGGCAGACATCCGGAGGAAGCCCAATATCTCATCTCATGGGTACATGGCAGACATCCGGAGGAAGCCCAATATCTCATCTCATGGGTACATGGCAGACATCCGGAGGAAGCCCAATATCTCATCTCATGGGTACATGGCAGACATCCGGAGGAAGCCCAATATCTCATCTCATGGGTACATGGCAGACATCCGGAGGAAGCCCAATATCTCATCTCATGGGTACATGGCAGACATCCGGAGGAAGCCCAATATCTCATCTCATGGGTACATGGCAGACATCCGGAGGAAGCCCAATATCTCATCTCATGGGTACATGGCAGACATCCGGAGGAAGCCCAATATCTCATCTCATGGGTACATGGCAGACATCCGGAGGAAGCCCAATATCTCATCTCATGGGTACATGGCAGACATCCGGAGGAAGCCCAATATCTCATCTCATGGGTACATGGCAGACATCCGGAGGAAGCCCAATATCTCATCTCATGGGTGCACAGCAGACTTCCGGAGTGAGCCCAAGTGTCACACATCAGGTTAAATATAAAATGGAGATCCTGACAAACTGCCCTCATGACAGATCCCGCCCAAACAGTCATGGGTGGATCTAGGATTTTGAAAAAGGGGGTGCAGATGGTAAGGTGTGTCATCTCACGTAAAGCAACACATTTTTCTACCGTTAAAAATGAACTAGAAGCTTTACTAGCACACTAGGGCTGCAGGGCTGTATTATTCAGTTTAAGACAGAAGCAAAAACAAATATAACTGCCTTGGATTGAGTCAAAAACAGCCTGCCGGGCTGTGAAATAGGAACTTCATGACCAGGCTCAGCAGAGACAGCGTCATTGCAGCAGAAAGGCCTAGCTTGATTAGTGGAGCATCAAGCTCTTTAAAAAGAAGAGGGTCATTAACACCTGTGACATGAAACGAGTTTAGACGGGATCCGGTAGATTACAACGAGCCATGAAATAAATTTACCCTCTCAACCCCTACTTGACTAGAAATGCTGCTACCCCGCGGGGCCAGGCAGTTGGCTTTAAACTCTGGGTGGAGCGGGAATGAAAGGAGAGTCCAAATGCACCAGTGTGCTCCCTCCCTGCAAACAGTCCCTTTCTGGGTATCTCAAACCAGTGTTTTGCCGACATGAAAATGTGGATATTTAAATGATGCGATTCCCTCTCAGGTTGCAGCCACCATTGACATTTGTTGCATCAACACTTCACAGCTCAGACGGCTTTGCAACCTTGCTGATCTCTGCTTAGCATCTGCCATGCTAGTTCTATATCAAAATGTTATTTATTTAGCAAAAGTCATTTTTATCATTTCTTTTGTAAAACTTGCCTCCCTCAGCAAGAATCCTTCTCACTTATTCACCTTCTACTGCATGCTTGGTGGTTTATACACACAGGTCGATTAGCTGGTTTATTCAATAAATGACTTTGGGATGCTTAATAATATGAGATCAAGATTCACAAGGCAAGCACACAGTCACGGCACATGGGCTAGCGTGGTTAAGACACACCTGTTTTTGTAGCAAGTGGTGCACAAGGGAGGGATGTAGCCAGTACCACATCTGGACACCCTGGACTGCCCAACCTGTATGACCAGTTACCTGGTTAGAGGTCATCATCCAGGGCAGCCATGGGCAAGGGCCTAGAGCAAGATGCGCCTGTAGCAAGGTGGCTTCACCACTCCCCTTTTTTAGAGAAGAGGCCCTCAATGAGGCAAGAGACTATTATCACCATCACTTGCTGTGTTGGCCCAACTCTCTGCAGTGTCTGGGAAGCTGTAGGTAGAACGATACAGAGATGTGGCTGGAGCTCACCTGCCTTTTCTCTTCTCAATCAGCTTGACTATTGGGCTGCCCCTGCCAAGCCTGGCCTCCCGGTGGATATCAGAGTCCCCTTCCCGAGCCTCCAGCCTGTCAAAATCTTCCTGGAGTCTACTGGCATTCCCTCCACCATCATGATAGAGGACGTGCAGGTAAGGGCTCCTGTGGTGACCATGTGCTTATAGTGTTGCCACCCCCCACGTTTAGTCTGACTTGGGAGAGAAGGCGGTGAGGAAGGACAGACAGAGCGAGCAAAAGGCTGAGCTGGAAAAGCAAAAATCTCTTCCCACGGGACAAAACCCAGCCCATCTTGGGGATGAAATGCAGTGATGTAAGTGAAAGGTAGGTGATAGGGGCATGACTCTGGATGCTCGGTAAATAGGGGAACCTAAATGGAGGTGGGGAAGGGAGGAGGCTTCATGTTCTGGCCACGTGGAGCGGAGCAGAGTCCCTGCACCAGCCTCCCACCACTCCCCTGCTGCAAGGGGAAGTGTCACCTGTCATTGCCAAGGGCCAGGTTGACCCTTCCCTGGCCCTGCAACCCCCCAAATTCAAGGCTTTCGATCCTTGTTTGCCATATAAATCTGCAGCAGTTGCAGAGCCAGGAGAGGGCTATTAGTGGTGATGCCTCTTCTAGAGGCTGTGACCTGCCATGGCTCTTGTAGCCATAGCCTCAAGCCCCCCTGCCTCCACTCTGGTGCTTCAGGGCACAAACCCTATCAGGTAAGCCTGGTGCTCAAGATGTGAATCCTACCCGTTACGCCCCTGGTGCAATGCCCCCTTTGTTGGCCAGGTCAGCAGAGAAGGACGAAGACTGAATGAGATTGAGCCCCAGCACATCCTTAGACCAAGCCCTTCCAGGCTACGGGTTCAGAGCCTGCACACCAAGCAGGACAGTGTGAGGGACGCTATTCCTATCCTACAGAGCTGTAGAAATTTGCAATCTCCAGCCCCTTCCAGGAGCATGTTGTTTGCTAAGGCTATGTTTGCATAAAGCAAGGATTTGGTCTCAAGGGTGACTGGCCCCTGAATTTGAACCAGAAAGATTACAGCTGCTTTTTCGTGGGTGTTTAGGGCTTGTGACATCTTCTCTAGTGGTGACTACAAGAGGTTGCGACTTGGTGGGGGCTGAAGAAGCTGTTCCTTTAGCTCAATCAGAAGGGAGCTGTGCTTGTTGGTGCAGGAGGTCTTTGGTTCATCTCTGGGTGACTGCACAGCACGTGACAATCCTTTTGGAAGAAACAAATGCAAATGCTGTCCTCTTCTCTGTATGTGCTTTTTAAACAGATGTTGCTGGACGAGGAGAAAGAAGCCATGGAGAGGGCCAGAAAATTGGAGAGAAGCAGCAGCGGCTTTGATTTCTCCACCTACCACACCATAGAAGAGGTAAGTCCCTCAGCTGTGGGCTCTCTCCCTTGCCGCCTGATGGTCCAAGCCAGGTAGTGGTCATACATAATCATACTTCTGTCAGCTTCTGTCTTTGCATGCAACTACTCACACTTTCTGAGCAACTGGGTTTATTTGCTGGAAAACCACACTGCTTCATCCAGACTTGAGGTGTGTTCAGAGCCCAGGCTTGATAGTGGGTGATGGAACCTTGCATAAGATCAGGGGGTGTCAACATCGATAAATACTGATCCAGAGTCATCCCAGGAGCCTTTTCACTGCGTCCCACGCTGCTCTGCAGAAGGAAGCGTGGGAACTATGAGAGCTTCTGGCCTGCAGATATACAAGGCAGAGAGAATCCCCTCCAGTGAGCTTTCTTTGAGCAGGGTCCTGGCTGTTGTAAGCAATTGGAAGTCGCCACTGAGAAGCTGAGACTGGCTGTTATCTGAGAAAAAGGAAAGAACGATGAGCATGAGCTAAAAATGCTTCCTTGCAGATCTACAGCTGGATGGACGATCTCGTGGCCCAACATCCCAACCTGGTCAGCAAAATTCAGATTGGAGAGAGCTATGAAAAGCGGCCTCTTTATGTGCTCAAGGTAAGCGTTCCTTGATGTGGCAATCATTCTTTGTGACCCCCCTCCAGCACGTGAGACATCCCACGGTAGATGATTGAGAAACTTACTTACCCGACACAGTGGGTGCATCTAACCATGTGCATTTACTGCACAGTAACCAAAATTACTGCACAGTACAGGCACACGTCTACACGTGCATGCCTGTACTGCATAGTGAATATGGTGGCTTACGCCGACTTGAGCATAAATGCAGGTATCAAATTTATGCCTGAATAGTTACTGCCCAGTAATGCACATGTAGACGCCTTACTGCGCAGTAACACTGTGTGTGCGGACTGACTTGGGACCAACTTTAGTCCCAAGTCAGTCCCCACACAGCGTTAATGTGTTTTAGTGCCTGTACATGTAGACACTGGCCTATTTCCACTTACTGCACAGTAATTTACTGCACAGTAAATTTAAACCAGCATAAATGCACATGTAGACACTCCCAGTATGTAGTATGGCCATCCTTCCCCTTGCTCATCTATTAGATTAAACTATTTAATGAATACTTGAGCAGACTAGAGCTTCACAGTCCTACAGAGTATGGAAGAGATCAACCATAGACTTTTAATGGCGAAGAGAGAACAGCCATGCATTTGACAGACACCCATCGAGCGGGTCATGGGGATCCTGTAATATGTATTCTTAAATATAAATCCCTAAGCCTCAAAATCTGACCCAAGTTCCTGCCTCTAAGACAGAAGCTCTGTGTGCTGGAATCAGCATGGAGAGTCCAGAGAAGAGTTATAACAATAACGAGAGACTCTAATTAAGGCATTCATCCAGCAGAGCCTAAGTGAAACTGCACACGCTACTTGAAAAGGGTAGGCTCTTGTTTTACCTTGCTCCACAAAGCTGTTCCAGTGAGATAACGAATTATAGGCCTCATAGCCACAACAGCACCCTATGAACATCTAAGTGTGAGCACACAAGCCAGCAACACCTGGGCTGTAGCTAACGTAGGCATGTCTTCTTTGCTGATTTCTCCTGCAGTTCAGCACAGGGAGAACTGTGAAAACTCACCGTCCTGCCATTTGGATTGATACCGGCATTCACTCTCGGGAGTGGATCACCCAGGCGACCGGCGTGTGGACAGCCAACAAGGTAATACCTAGTAAATACCACTTTCCCAAAGAGCTTAGATGTATCAGGGGCAGTCTGAAAGTCAGATTTATGGGGGTATTCATTGCACCCAGGTCTTATTGACCTGAACTCGAGTGGAATTCACTCTTGGTAGAACCACAGAATTGCAGGGCTGGAAGGGATTTCAAGGGACTATCCCATAGAGCCCCTTGCACTGAGACATGGTCAAGTATAGACAGACCATCCCCAACACTGTTGGCCTAATCCAATGAAGGAGATTCTCCAGCTTCCTGAAGTAGTCAGCTCCAGTGCCTCATCACCCTAGCAATGAGACGTTTCTTGAAATCCAACGTAAGATCTTCCCTGCTGCCATTAAAGTGTTTTTTTCCTGTCCTGTTCCCACTGGCTATGGAGAAAAATTGATCACCACGATCATTATAACAGTATTGCACATACTGGACCTCTGTTATCATGGTTCCTCTGGATCATTTCTCTTCTAGACCATGTTGGACCCAAAATTGGTAGATTAGTGCCTCTTGGGGTCCTTGTCATGTGGACACTAGAAAGTTAGCTGAGACTTAGCAGCTAATTTTTTGATTCATAGGTTTCAGGGCCAGACTGAACCTAAAGATCCTCTAGTCTGACCACCTACATACTGCACACCATTAAATCTCATTCAGTTGCTGCTTCATTGACCCAAATAATTTACCTTTGGCTAAAGCAACTTTGGAAAAGGCATTAAGGCTGGAAGACCTCAAGGGCTGGGGAATGTACCACTCCTCTTGGTAGCTTGCTGAGAAAGGTGCATGCCTAATTTCATATCTGCAATTCTGTCTGGTCGCCGCTTGAAGCCATTGGATCTTGGTTCACCTTCCTTCTAATGTTAGGCTTCGACTCCTACTGTACCCCAGGTTGTTGTGGGAAAGCTGCTATGAGTCCCCGCACTAACAACATGGAGCCCAAGATAATACAGAGCCCTTCTCTCCATGCAGATAGCCACTGAATATGGCAAGGATGCCTCCCTCACTGCCATCCTAACCAGCATGGACATTTTCCTTGAGATAGTCACCAACCCCGATGGCTTTGCTTATACTCACAGCCAGGTAAGTACCTCTGCAGGAATGGGGGTTTTCAGTCCTCAGTCCTATTGCCTGCGAATGCAGGGACAGCTTCAGATACAAGCCACATAAGGGACTTTTGGGGGGCATGGGCATTTTCTTGCAAGAGGTTGTCCTGTCCATGCTGCTGTCCTCGCCATCAGGCCCTATGTCTCCTTTCCACTACATCTGGACAGAGCTCTGTTTGTTGGGATTTGTGGTGTCTGCATGGTACCCCTCTGTAAGAGCTGAAGATGTGTGTGGGTTGGGGAACAGTTGGCCCAGATTAGATAAGGTAGCTGCATTTTGGCTTTCTGTGCTTTGAACAAGAGGTTATCCCCATTTCTGGGATACTGGGTCAAAAGTGTTGGAGATGGCAAAAGACACACAACCAGTGACTACCTCTTAGAGGCATTTTTAGTTGGTGCCTCCTTGCAAGGCCGTTGTGGTACATAGTACTACCCACACCATGCAGTCTTTGCACTGTTCTGCTCCTGTTGGGTGAACACGGAGCCCAGATTTGAGACCTAGCTGTGATCACAACCCCATGGTCTGTGTCTGCTTCCTCCTAGAACCGCATGTGGCGAAAGACCCGGTCCATCAATGCTGGATCTTCCTGTAAAGGTGTAGACCCCAACAGGAACTGGGATGCAGGCTTTGGAGGTATGGAACGGCCTGGGGCATGCTGGAGAGCTGTTAATCCCAACTGCATTTCATTTCAGAATAAACCCATGCTTGGGGACTGATGCCGCAGATCCAGCTGTTTCTTAATTTTAGGAAACAAATGGTGTGTTAATATTCTGTTATGGTGGAGCAATAGGTTCTGGAAGAAGAGATCCTTGCCTCATCTTCCTGGCTGACAGCAAACTGTAGTACTGATTCATTAAATGTTCACTTAAAGACGCCCGCTCACATATAAGTAACATGTAAGCTATCCCGAACATGTAGTTACTGTGGTCATTGCAACTTTGCTAACGAGGCTTTGGTATGGGACTCTAATAATCATATTAGTTACTGTATAATGGCTTCATTGGCATTAGAGTATGGGCAGATGTTGTCCACTGTTCTTAAAATTGCACAGTCCTTTTGAAACGCTGCAATGCTGCCTAATGGTGTCTGATGGATTCGGTGGCATTTGGAAGTTGAAATTAGAAGCCCGTAACTTGTCTTGTTTTTTACTGTGGAAGCAAACTCCAATGAGGTTGGATATTAGGAAAAACTTTCTCAGTAGGAGGGTGAAGCACTGGGACAGATCACCCAGAGAGGTGGTGGCATCTCCATCCTTGGAGGTTTTGAAGACCCAACTAGACAAAGCCTTGGCTGGGATGATGTAGCTGGGGCTGGTCCTGCTTGGAGCAGGGGGTTGGACTAGATGTGGCCCCCTGAGGTCCCTTCCAGCCCTCATTTTCTGTGACTCTATAAAGGTGGACTAATTCCCCCAATAAACATGTGCATGCCAATCATTCCCACTAATGCATACTCTCATTTCATAAGTATGGGGTTGGGTACTGGGTTTTAATTCGCTGCCTTTTCCGCTTAATCATAGGCCCTGGTGCCACCAACAATCCCTGCTCAGAAACCTACCATGGACCCTACCCCTTTTCCGAGAGCGAAACAAAGTCCGTTGCAGACTTCATCCTCGGCCATGGAAACATGAAGGCCGCGATCTCCATCCACAGTTACTCTCAGATGCTGATGTTCCCTTATGGCTACAAGGACGAGCCTGCTCCTGACCATCAGGAACTGGTGAGGAGTTTAGCTCCCAACAGTATATGGAAGGAGAGCTAAAGCAGCCATGTGCTAGAGTCTGGTTGCTCAGGGGATTTAGTAGGGGAGAGATGCTCGGATGTTCAGTGCTCGGCTATGGGGTGACTGAAAGGCATTGTCCAGCTGAAGTCTAACTTTGAAACAGCTTGGTGGTCTCAGCCCTTTCAGCAGATAGGAGTCCCCGTCATCAAACTCACCACCCTTATTGGCAGCAGCAGCTTCCACGTCATGGTCACAGAGCGAGTGGGGGGGTCTCTGCTTTAGAGATGGCCCCTCTGGGTCAGCCTGGAGGCACCTGGACTGACCTCTTGGGCCATCATTTCCAGTCCTCCTACACCGATCAGTTCGGTCTATGTCCCTCCTCTAGTGGTGCAGGCCATTCATCACCTTTGTGAGACCCTCTTCACCACCCCAGATTTTAAAAAGTCCTCCCTTTTCATGAAGTAAAGTACAGGTGGGTGCATGTGTGTCTGTCTGGGAGACAGAGAGAAACACAAACAGAAAATAAAGAGGTGACACAAACAGTTTCCCTCCCACTGCTGTTACCTGAAGGAAGGGAGGGAGGGATCTTTTCACTGAATATTCAAGCATCTCCTGATCATCGACGTCTTCTCCTTGTTGGCAGGACAATCTAGCAAAAGAGGCGGTGGATGCCTTAGCTGCGGTACACGGGACTCAGTACAGATACGGGAGCACGATCCACACCATTTGTAAGTTCTCCGGTGTTCAGGTGGGGCCGCGCAAAAGCAGATCTCTGCTGTGCTTCCTCTGCTCTCCAAGCATACCTAGTGATCCCAGGGCTGGGCTCGCAGCGCTGCTGTTACTGCTGGACCTGTGCTGATGTGTCCCTTCAGCTGTGGGAGTAGCAATGAATATTGAGATGTCTAAAATACCCATGGCCAGAATCCTTCTAAAACCAATTTTGGGTAATTTCTGGGTAATTTTCAGCTGCAGAGCAGTGCATTGTGGGATGCCTCTGGTCCATTCCAAAGCTTGTGGTGCACAGTTCACTCAGGGATCAAAGCTGTGCCGATGGTATGAGTTATTTGGACCCGAGATGATGACCCAATCTCATGCTGCAGCCAGCAAGCCCAACCTATGCTTGGCTAAAGCTGGTGAGAGGATGAATGCAGAACCACTGCATAAACCTCAAGGTTCAGGCACAACGAGGGGCAGCGTCTTGCAGCGTCTTTACATCTAGTATCATCAGCATCTGGGATTCCCTATCGTGGTCTCGTTTAAATGCTCATTTTTAATTCCATGTCCTGGGTTTTTGCTGTTTCCAGACCAAGCTGATGGCATCACCATTGACTGGACCTATGATAACGGTGTCAAGTACTCCTACACCTTTGAGCTGCGAGACACCGGCCGCTACGGCTTTCCCCCGCCCGCCCCCCCGAACATCCCAACGGCTGAGGAGACGTGGCCGGCTCTGATGAAGATCATGGTGCACGTCCATGAACATCCCTATTAACAAAACAAAACAAAACAAAACATGAGTTGCAGCTGCTGAGCCTAATCCTTTAGCCAATCCTTGTGAGTGGGCATCACACCAAATAAAGGATGCAGCTCCACACCTTATACTTACGCGCTGTATTTTTTGTTACCAAGTGCTCGTTACTGATTAATTAGGAAGGCTCCCTAACCCCAGCCTCTTCAAACCTCTTGTCACCCTATGACATCGCCCATAGTCCCTCCCGTAACAGCCAAAACTTGGAAAGAGAGACCGATGCTCCTGGTACAGCCCTTTGTTATGCATGGGAGCTAGAAGGAACATGATCGTGCAATAATGGGCCAAATCTGACATCCATTGACAGCTCCGTAAATTGGGAAACATGCCAGTGCATTTGTTCTGGATCACAAGTCCATGCACAGCCCGTTGGGTGGGCATACTGAATACAATCCGGTTTCTATCACTTGAGTGTGCTGTTTGGGGAACCTTGCATGCCAACTGTGGTCATGGGGCAAGGGATTAAGGCACCTTCACCTGTTCCTCCACTGCTGACATATGTCTGCAGGGGGGACTCTATACCCCAGATTTCAGTGGCAGGCCCCATCCAGCAAACCCTGCTGTTGAACTCCTGATCCATCTGGGAGCCCCACGGCCACGTGATATCACTCTGCAGGCCAGATCCAGCCCACAGACCTGATCTTTGACATGGCCAAGGTCCTATCCAGCTGCCTTGGATTCCCCAGCCCATTTATGGCCGAGTCAGTTGGGGTTGGTTTTGGCACTGAGGCTAGAGGGAGGCTCAAACTCAGACCTCTGGAAGTGTAGTGAAACGCCGTAACTGCAAAGCAGAGTTTGGCTTCATCCTAAAACCTTATGCTGGTGATAAGAATCGTACGTTCTTCATCATGGAGGATCTCTGGACGTTTCAGCGAGTTAGCAAACTGCTCTGGTTCTCCACTTCTCTAAACTGTGGTCACCTCTGCCATGGTACATGGGTAGCACCTGAAAGGACGGGGAGATTTGTTTGCAGGTGGAACAGGGTCTATTTGTCTGCTCAAGTAACAAGGGAAGAGTCTGGCCTAAAGGAATTGCCTAAGCTGGAGTTTGGGAGTTGTGTGTCTGGGCTGGATGCATCACCCATCCAGGCACAATCCAAACCAGTGCTGAGCAAGCTGGCTGCCACATCTGCAAAGGTTTACCCTAGAGTCACTCAGAGACAGGCTTTGGAGCCTCCTCCTTAGCCACACTTTTGGGGCTTGGCTTGGGCCCCTTGACATTGGCCAAGGCTTACTGCAGACCCCTAGTCATATGGCCCCATGGATGAGCAATGAACCCATGGGCCAGGTTTGGCACCTGGTGCTGCCCCAGCTAGGGCTGGCCCCCTCCCAGCCATCTGGGGCTGGTGGAGCCTGGGCCTGATCCAGCTGCACCAGGCTTGGAAATCTGGAGGTGGAGCAGAGGCAATGTTGATCGCCACTGCAGCCCTGCTGCCAAATTTCCAGACCCAAATTTCCAGATTGGTTTGCAAGCTGGGGGGTGAGCACACCTGATTCGAACTGTTTCAAGCAAAATCACTCCTAGATGACCCCTGCCCACCGAATCCCAACATGACCCCTTCTTTGGGAAATGTTGCTGAACTTCAGCTTAAACCTGGAGCCAGAGGCCTCAGCCCACCCTCCCATCCCCAAACTCTGGGTCCTGACCCAAATATTTTTGCTATCCAATAAGTTCCCAATCCCTCTGGGGCTATATTCTGAGCCTCATTGATGACTTGTATCATGGCATTAGGGGTGGCCTCTCCTCACAACCAGGCTGCCATATGACTTGGGGTCTGTTGCCAGCCTTGGCCATTTTCAAGGGGCATAGGCCATGCTGCAGAGGTGTGGTGAAGCAGAAGGCCCCACAGCCTGTTTCTGAGTGACTACAGAGTGACCCTTTGCAGATGTGGCAACCATCTGGATCAGCAAAGTAAAGAAAGCCATCAATATCTCCAGCCAGCAACATCTCCAGTAAGCAGATCCACTTAAGCAGAGCACGAGGCCTGAAAAGCAACATTATGAGGGAAGACCATGCATTAAATAATTCAAATATACTGCATCAGAGCTTTACCTTAATATGTCAGCAGTAGTGATTGTTGTAATCAAAGGTATTAGATGCTATGTTGCTGGAAAATATGTATATATATTTGTTAAGACGCTTAGCTAAGTTATAACAAAACCTCCCCAGAACAGCCTTGTCAGAGAAGACCATAAACTAAGGTAAAGAAGAAACAGGACAGTGTTGAACATCATTCCACAATGGCCAAGGACAGGAGATAAGAAAGCCTTCCACTTACTTTACGAAGGACATAAATCTCAACTAACTACTACTTTCCAAGTCTACAAGAGATCTGGTTCAGTTCAGTCCCCAAAGTTTCAGTGAAACACAGTTAAATAAACTCAATCAGAGAATTTATTAGAACAATCCTTCTATAAATATAGGGTATAGGTGAGGGAAATTTGGAGAACCCAACAAATTCAAGAAAACCTGCAGCCAAGCTGTGTGCCACTACCCGTCTAGTTGCACAAGACACTTTCACCCATTTGCACTTCCTCCAAAAACAGCCCCCAGCTCAAAACACACCCAGCCACTGCCTTTGGCTGCAACACTCAATCCCTTGGGTAGCAGAAGACAGGAGCAGGGATCAGCAGAGATGATCACACAAGGAGGCTTTTTATGTGCCTCTGGGATGTCCAGAGTGGCTGGTCCCAGCTCAGCTCCCTCCTATTCATCTACTGCAAACAAGACCTGGTGTTGCAGAATAAGGCAAGAGAGGATGCTGAGGTCAGGCCTGCATGGAGATGACAAATGCTGCCGCAATGCCGTCTGACCAGGCGGCACGTTCTCAGGCATCAATCAAGGAGCAGCTGCTCAGGTCAGGGCTTTTCCAACAGGGCAGGGGCAGAGTCAGGGGAACTGGAACAGCTGGGGATGGCAGGACTTGGCTGCCAGATCTAAGGACCTGTCAGCACAAGGTTGCACTAGAAGCCACCCCAGGGCAGGAGCAGTATTTAAGACGTCCCTGAGTCAATCCCCATTTCTCAGTGCATGCCTTGCTCTGCTGAAAATGAGGGGACTCGTGGTACTGGCAGCCCTCCTGGCGGCTGCCTTTGGCACCGAGGTCTTTGTCGGGTAGGTAGATGGGAGGGAGCGTAATCAGTTGGGATCTCTCTGTTTCAGCAGCTCGGCCACTCGATGGAGCAAAGGAGTTACAAAAAGGACGGTGTCAGGTCCCAGACTTGCAATTCCTCCCACTCCAGCGGCAGCTGGGAGAGTTTTTCTGCCTTGCACAGGCATTGCTTTGCTGGTCACCCGCGGAGACGGCGAGAGGGATGGGAATGGGATGGCCAGGGGAGCAACTGCAGTGTCCTAGTGGGGCCGCAAGAAGCAGCGCTGGGTGGGCAGGGTGAAGAG